TTTTTCTTTCTTCTTGGCTTGCAGCCTGTTTTTGGAGAACTCACCTTGCACACATATTTGTCAGAGGTATAATTCCTTTTAATGAATGTGTCCTTAATATCTCCCAGGGGTACAAAGAAGTTCATAAACTCTACAGAAAGTGTTTAGTGTTTATTTTAATAATAATATAAAAACATATTTTGCAGTAATAAGTCACAATTGAAATACTTTTTCCTTTATTTTGACACAATACATAGTAGCTTCTTCCTATCTTGTTTTTTCACACTGAGATCCTTAGCACCCAATAGGGACCCAAGGATATAGTCTAAGGAGTGCAGAAAAATTAGGTACTTCAGAAACACTGCTCTATATCTAAGCAAATAATTCTATCTTTGCCCTAAAGAAATTGCTTACTTAACTAAAAATAAATCCATGGAGCTAAGCTGCAGAAACTACTCTATAATCTGATGCTTTGTGTATTTCCAACACAAACTGAAGACAAAGATGAGATAGGCTCTTACAAAAATGAAGGCGATTACTAGGGTGTTGGTTTTTTTACATTCACTATTGAATACTGTGCATTTGCATTTCATTTGTTCGGTTCTTTATATATATTAAAAAAAAAATCCAAAGTTCAACTCATCCCTGGCTAGTGTCGCTCTTCATTGCCACTGAAAGTTGATTATTTGCTAGAAAATATCTTCATACTTATTTTTTAAAATCACAAACAGCTTGTAAACATAAACTGTAGGCAAAAGATTATTCCGAATGCCAGTTCTTTAGAGAGAGCAATCTACAAGGGAATTCTCTCCTCCATATCTGAGTTCTACTCAGTTTAATTTGGGTAGAGCTGTTGACATAGAAATTCTGAGAAAAAGTACTGATGAGACAATATCTATCCCACCCTCAGAGCCACCCTTACAGCTTGCTAGTTCTATAGGTGCGAATATAACCGTAGGTAGGAACACTGAGAGGCTATTTAATTCCTACTCTTCTTTCCCCGGGGCTGTGCTGAAAAGAAAGGCACTGGATGTCACTGGAAATCAGTGGGAGACTTGAACCCTTTCCAGAGTCCCCAGACACCCGAGTGCTGAAAGTGTGAACCTTTCAATTCTAGGATACTTTCCTCAGCCCAACACAGGACAACCATCTCTCTTAACCAGATTTTTCCAGTTCTCTCTCCGCTCCAGTTCTCACAGTGCAACTTACAAAACACCGCTTCCTGAGGTACATGTGCCTGCTCTTAAGGTTAGAGAGCAATTCACTTACCATGACAAGTTAGATACAGACATTGCAGCAGTGTCGGGAGGGGTCTTGTGGAGCAGTCTTCTCTTGACGTCAGAAGACGCTGGGGTAGGTCAGGTAGACAAGAGAGCTGCGAATTTTAGCTTTGCCGCTGGAATGATGCAGAAACCACTCAGACACTCAGAGTTTGAGAAGACCTATAAAGAGAAGGAAAGTGACATGCATAGTACCGGGTCTATATGACTTTTCACGGATATATTTCACCCAGCCAATAGTTTTGTTATCAGGCACACAAAAGAAAACATAATTTTCCTTAGAGTATAACCCATGTCATAAACCAAGGATAAAATGAAACCAACCCTATGAGGAGCTCAATGCTTTCCCTTTAAAATCAACTGAAAGGTTATTAAAACGTTTATCCCTGGAGCAGATAATTCCTTGTTCATTCAAGGAAAGAGCAGAATGTGTTCTCGGAGGCACCACATTGTTTCCCCACACGGTCCATCAGTTATGCTCTCTAAATCGGTTTTGTCTACTCGTGACACAAGGATCAGAACAAAGACCCCGACTACCCAGAGCAGAGACAAAAACTGGAGTTCCTTGGCACAAATTGTTATTGTGTCCAACGTTACCCTGAAGCATTGAACTTTTAAACAGTGAACATAGTTATAATCACTTTCCAGCCACCAGACCCAGTCACTGAGGATAAACGCCGGTATTCCTTTAACAAAACCGCACGCCTCGATACGCACCGCGCAGAGGGGCGCTCGCCGGTTTCCCACGTGCAGCAGCTGGTCCAGCAAGGCTGCCGGCTGCCTGGGTCGTGCGACCAAACCTCAACAGGCACAGCGGGCCTGCGGACAGACGGGGCGGCCGCTAAGGATTTTAAGGAAGACGCAATCACTTTTTAACTTAAATTTGATTGTGCTTCTGACCCATATAGGCAAAATATGCTTTAGGGTTCTTTACGTGTATTGCATATATTTTATGGACAAAAATCTTATTTCTTTGAGAAAGTCTTAACAGGATAGTAAATAAATACTCTGAAGACAAGTACTAAAAAATACAGGCCAAACTTCCTCATGCCCCCTTCTGGTCACTTCCTCCCCCAAGGATGACCATTAGACTGACTTCTACTAGCACAGATAACTTTTGCTTGTTTTTATACTTTATTTAAGTAGAATAATATAATGTGCATTATTTTGGGAGGGGAAAAGATTCTAGAATTTTGCTATAATGCTCTTCAAAGAAATTTGTAAATTTTGAGTAACCAAATATAACATTGTACTTCATATAATATTAACATTAAATGTATTTTATTCTAGTTATTAAGTATAAAAATGTTTATTATATATTTAATTATTCAGAATACCTTAGGCACAAATCATGCTTCAATAATAACATGGTTACTCTGGGTGTCTTTTTGTCTCTCTCTGTTTCTCTCTCTGTGTGTCTCTCCCCCACCCCCACATACAAACACAAACACACACAAATATATTTCCCCCCGATTTTTAGAACAATTAGTAAATCAAGTCTATAATATTCTATTAGTTATGTCCTCTGACTCAGTGGCAATCTATATTTAGGAAATTCTCTGATTTTTATGATAAACCAATTTCTACAAATGTTGGCATATGTAGCTAAAATACACATCAAATAACTTAAACAAATTTTAACTTTACCTCATTTACTGAGCTTTCTCCCTTTCCTCTATATTTCTCAGTTTATGCTAGTGTCCCATTTCATATAAGCTCTTTCTTTCAGTTTTCTCATTTTAGTCAATAATTCCACATCATTTCCAGAACGTCTAGCCCATAAAATTATTCTCATAATAATTTCTTTCAATCTATTTCTATTCACTAAACAAGCCACATGATGGAGATATTTTGGCCTTTAGAGGTTCAATTAAAGTCTCATCTGGAAACCACGAGAATATTCATGAATTATCTTTGTACTTCCATGTTAATTACAAAACTAAATATTTTAAGTCATGCTTTACAACTCAGAGATATTTCCCAATTAGCAAACTGACTAAGCATATCTGCTTCATGTTAAATGTAAACATATTTGCAAAATGCCAACACAGTTTTACTTATGAAGGGTTCATAATACCCTATCACCATGTTATAGACATTTGCCTAACTACATTTGAATTAAGCTCAGGGACTCTAGCAAGCATAAGCCGCTGGGTGCGGTACACATCTGCAGGTCACTGAGGAGCCACTCTGATCCACTGTTTACGACAGGAAGCGACAGGAAGACTTGTCCACCTGCCACAGCGCCAAAATTTCCCTAACTTGATCTCCATCTCCGAAGAATGGCTACGGGAGTTCACCAAAAATAAAATCCTTTCAGAGAGAAAGCTGAAGTCAGGATACTGGAACTTGCCACTGTTCCTCTCCAAATGCCAGTTAGTAATGAGCGTTTGGGGGGAGAAGTTCAAAAAAATGTGTCCTAAATTCGTTTGAGTTGGTGGACACAATTTGATTCCAATGCATTAGTTTGCATTTAGGCACAAGTGTCTACACCTGAAATGTGGAAGTGAGGTAGCAATATATTACCAAGGACCGATGGGTTAGTTATGCCTGGGAAACCCAATCCCTTAATGACTGGAGTCAGGTCCCTTCACCCCAAGGGAGTAACTTATAAGGCCACCATCCAGGGCGCTCTGATGGAACACACCCAGTTTCTGACTCTCCTTTGGAACTGCTGAATGCCCGCAGGAAAACTGCCACTGCTCCCTGCAGCACACAACGAAAGACTCGGTGTCCCTGGGGATCCATGGGAGGGACACAATGTCCACTCCTCCTCGACACTGTCAGCCTGCGCGGTGCCTGACCTGGATAAACTCTGACCCTTTCATCTGCTTATGGGCCAGTCTTCCTCCTCTCTCCCTACTTCCCAATGGGTCTAAGACAAGTAAGATTGGTTCAGTCAACTTTTGTATTTATATCTTGTGAGTCTGTGTTATCTGGGTAAAACTCACTCGTTTAGAACAAAATCAAAGACCCTGTACCTAGTTCTAACTTCTCACCGAGATGGTTTAATTAGATTAGATACCAAATAAACCAGGAATTATTTAGCTCAAGTTATTTTCTCGGATTTTACTTCAGTGAAGCGTGAGCTGCGTGATTATAACTAAGCGAGTCTGATGGGCTGGAAGAGGGAAGATAGAACTAAAGGTCCTAATTTCATGTCCTCCCATGGAAAACAGACTGAGGAAGACACAGCTTTCATTCTGGATGGCCAACGTGGCAGTGCGAATATAACTGTAGGCATCCATTCAGATATTTTTGAGCATCTACTACATACCACTGCTCGGCTCAGGAAATCCACAAATCAGAAAAGGAGCCCAAGGCGCAACGTGGGTGACAGCGGTGTCAATGGACAGCTACGACACTGCAGCAGAGCTGCAGGCCTGAGGACTGGGAGAGGGTGCCAAGTCACTGAGCAGGCCAAGGGAGGCGGGTCCGGGCCAGCTTCCTAAAGCAGGTAATGTCAGTTCTGAGGCACTTTGAGTGAGGGAGAAAACATGCCAAGGCCACAGAGCTGAGTATGGCATGGTTCAGGGGTTAGGAACAGGAATGGCCAACGCACAGGGTGTCTGTGTGTTTAGGGTAGGACATGAAATGAAACAGGAAAGTTAGGTATGTTTCAAGACAGGTATTAGCCAACATTTTTTTTTTTTGAGCTATGGCACCTAAAACACAAGCAAAGAAACAGAGATAGGTTGGAATTCTTCAAAATTAAAAACTTTTGCATGCCAAAGGACTTTTCACTATAAAGAAAGTGAAAAGGAAATCCACAGAATGGGAGAAAATATTTGCAAATCGTGCAAGGCTCTAGTATTCACAATATATAAGGAACTCTTAAAACTCAACAAGAAGAAGAAAAATAACACAATTGTGGTCAATAACCAAGTTAAAATATTGGCAAGGATGTTTAAAAACTAGAGCTCTCATCCTGTCGAGTGGCTCAACTGGCTGGAATGTCATTCGTGCACCGGAATGTTCAGAGCAGCATTCTCATAGTAGCCAAAGGTGAAGGCAACTCAGGTGTTCATCAGCTGATCAGTGGGTAAACAAAATGTAGCACACTCACACCGTGGAATATTATCCAGCCATAAAAAAGGAATGGAGTACTAATGCAGGCCATAACACTGATGAACCTTGAAAACAGTTCGCTAGGTAAAAGAAGACAGACGAAAAAGGGCACGTAGCACATGATTCCACATATACAACACCCAGAGCAGGCAAATCCGCAGAGACAGAAAGTAAATTATGGTCGCCAGGGGATGGGAGAGGGAGAAGGGGAAAGTGACTGCTGATGGGTATGGAGTTTTTTGGGGGGGGTGATGGCAATGTATTGGAATTAGGTAGTGGTGATAGTTGCACAGGTATGTGAATACATTAAAAGTCACTGACTTGCACACTTTAAAAGGATGCATTTTATGGCATGTGTATTATATCTCAATTTTTTTAAAAAAGGTTTAATGCATCAAAGACAAACAACAATGTAAAGAGTGAGCTGGTGCCAGGACTCAGATCTGTTAATTCCACCTAGGTTCTAACTGCAGTAGCATATTGGTACTTCTCAACTTTGGAGGCTCATACCCAAATCTTAACCGTTGGGATGGCGCAAACATATTTAACAATTGTTTCTTTCTTATGTCTTCTAATATAAAAACCACGTTACTGGAAAACACACAAGTCACTCCAGCAGCCAGCAAAGGAAATGTAAGCTCTGCACACATAATAGCAGGCTTAAGGTTCAATGACAACGTGTAAATCATCTTCAAGACCCAAGTTCATCTTTCTTAGCTTTTCCTATGATCAGCCCTCATACTAGAAATGCATTCTCTCTCCTGCTAACAAGTTAGTTAGGCATCAGTAAAAGTCTGACTTGCTATGATAAGCACTGCAAGCTTCTTAAACACGCGTGACAAGATCTCAAGTGTCAGCTTTTCTCCCGTAATATTTTAAAAACTGAAGATCCGACCAAAAGAAAATCCAGCTAGAAGGAGAAATATGGCAAAGACAGATTCTTATAAAAGGGACAGCTCAAGTGTCAAAGTTGTTACTTTATCATGTGAACCAAAATTTTCCCTTGATCCCCTCTCATGTTTGCTCCCAAATTCTTTAACACATAAATTGATTTTATGAATTTCCAGATCCAAAAAATTTTTACCACTTACTTTGTAAGAAAGAAAAAAAGAAACAAACAAACAAACAAAGCTAGTCTGTGGGTAGTAAGGACGGTAGATACACACCCATACACCCTCTTCTTCCTAAAAAATAAAAACAACAAATGGTGCCAAAAGCATGCTGTTAAAGATACGTTAGACAGTGTTTCCCATTACAAATTATAAGATATTAAAAGTTTGTTACAATGGAATTTATGGTATTTCATTCAGTAGCTCATCACAAATCATTTCAAAGCTATCATTTATGAAAATTTTTTATTAAAAAGCTAACACAAAATCTGCTCTAAAAAATTTATAATTTATTCCTAAAACACTTCTAAGACATTGTGATTGCAATGAGTTTGCAAAGAAATTAAGTGTATTTTTGAGTTTCAATGAGAAATTAATCTACGGTAACCATAATTGCAATTGTGCAAAACATGTAAAGCGATTTTTCAAACATTTCATTTCAATCAACTAATGGAAAATATCCAATCATATTTGCATAAAGTTAATTTTAAAATGTTTTGTTGATATTAGACAATTAGAATACATTACTGTCTTTTGTCACTGGATGAGATGTTTGTTTACTTGAGGGCTAAAGATAAAGTGAAGCTAAATAATTATAAAGTAGGGAAATAGTACTTGAGTAGTAAGTAGTTCAGAAACAAACAAGGAACAAGCAGATCTTGAATAAGTCAGTCATTTGTTCTACTGAAGTGATTCTGGGCAACTCACCAACACTGAATCAATGCAATGTGCAAAGCGTACAGCAGTCCCCCCTTTCTGCTGGAGATGTGCTCCACGACCCCCAGTGGATGCCCAACGCTGTGGGTAATACCAAATCCTTTATAGACTATGTTCTTTCCTATACAGGCATACCTTTCACTTCAACGGAGCACTTTACAGCTTCTCTTTGGCACATCCAAATTGCCAGCTTCACTACCCTGGCACTTTGGGGTCACTATTAAGAAAAATAAGGGTAACTTGAACACAAGCACTGGGATCTGGCCACAGTTGATATGATCATGGTGGCAGCCACTAGGTGACCGACAGGAAGGTAGTAGATAGTGTGGAGACGCTGGACAAAGGGATGAGTCACATCCCCTGCCAGACAGACCGGGATGGTGCGAGATTTCATTACGCTACTCAGAATGGTGACAATTTAAAACTTATCAATTGTTTATTTCTGGAATTTCTATTTAATATTTTCGAACCATGGTTGACCATGAATAATTAAAACCGAGGAAAGCAAAACTACGGATAAGGGAGGGCTACTGTAACTCCAAAGTCTAAGATTCATTTATAGGGAACCTCAGTTTCTCTGAACACTTTGTATGTTTCTTAACCAACATTTTGGAAAACTGGCCGGTCACCCTTTATCCAAACTAGCTTGTGGAGATCAGCAGATAATTATTATTTCCAAGTCCTTAGAAAAAGTTACCAAGGAGCAGCTACACATTTTTGTGGAAGAAATGCTTCTAAATGCACTTCACTGTGGTCAAATCACCTTGGCTGAGTGTTTCAAAACTGATCACAGTGAAAGCGCCACCAGCCCTTAACACCTCGACGACACAGCCTGGTGAACTCAATAGCCGTGACCTGCACACATGGAGCCTACTGGTTCTCTCCAATGCAGAAAAGGCAGGGTCCTGAGGGAACAAGCCATAATCAAGGAGGAGCTCTTAATACTCAGGGGTCCTAAACTCTATCCATCTGGAAAGCAACACATGCCCAGAGAAACTTCTACCCATGAGATGATTTTTATATTTCCTCTTAATAGCATAAATGAACAGTTTCCTTTTGAAAGTATTGGAACAGGCAGGCTGGTCAGAGCACACTGAAAAGGGCTGTGAAAATCGCTGGCTCAGCCCAAAGAACCTTTTCCACGGCACCTGGACACCCATGATCCCAGGCTGAAGCAGGTCCCTCCAACGCGGCTTCTACACTACACCCCGTGAGGCCGAACAAAAGCAAACCCACGAGGAAGCCCATTGCATTTTGAGGAATGAACTTCTTATAAGTCTTCACCTAAGCGCAAGTGAGCACTGTAAATGCAAGTAAGATGCAATTACTAACCTTAAACCCATCAGTCTAGTGGGGGAAACAGAGGAAGCAGAACCTACAAAGGCCAAGAAGTATGAAATGAGATGGCAATTCAGCCACCAGGCATCTGCGACTCATGGGGCAGGTAGGGGGGTGGCCAAGGAGGGGGCTAGGGAAGGAGCACGGATCCAGAGTGTAGCCAGTGCTGATGAAGATTTAACTATATCCAGCTGCTGTGGTAAATGTATCTCAGGCATTTTCTCTCATTTGGTCCTTACCAAAAAAGTCCGTAAGGCAGATCTTATTTGGATCACGCATCACAGATGAGGAGCTGAGACAGAGAAAGTAAGTAAACTGACTGCTATGCTACCCGGCTAAAGGGTCGGAGCACTGGGCTTCGATCACAGCTCCCAGGTTCCGGATCCTATGTCTCTCATGAAGGGTCTGTGCACAAACACAAGCATTAACATCTCCCCCATCGATGAGGTGTCAGTGGTGAGAGTGACACAGATAAGTAGCACGATTAGCTTGACCCCCAGAAATGGTGAACCTGACCCCAAAGTTGAGCATGAATTACAAGGGACAGACCTCAAAGCAGGCAGATAACCACAGAGTCAAAGCCACAACCCAGGCTGCAGGTGAGGGAGCTGAGCATTTGGGCAGCAGAAATAAACAGGAGCAATTGTCCTACCAGAGCATTAGTTCAACCAGAGGTATTTAAATTTCTACATAACGACGTAGAATGAGAAGAGCGCTCGTGACAACCCCTAAGATTCATCGAATGCCCTGTTTGAAAAGGACGGTAGGTAAGGAGGAATCGGTTAGGGTACTATTCCTGCTCAGGAGGTCTTCTTTTTCCCATTATTTACTTCATCTTTCCATCTTCTATTCTTGGCTCTAACACAAAACATTCACCCTTTAACAGGTGACTCTCAGCCTGACTGACTGAAGTGTCACGTAACCCCACATGCTTTACCACGGCTCCCAGACGCATCCAACAGTGCAGCTGTGCCTCCTTTGCTTGTTACATTTATTTCCAATTTTCAGAGTGGGTTTTTTTTTTAATCTAGAAGAGGATTTTACTGGATAGCAGTCAAAACTAGCAAATAATAAACATGTGAACACAATCTCCCGCCTTCTTGTGGTAAAACAAATGAAGCTAATCTACAAACAGCGGAGCATCTTACACCTCCCAGATTCAAAAGGGCCCCCAATACTCAGGGGGCCCCCAATACTAACCTGGAACCCATCAGTCTAGTGGGGGAAACAGAGGAAGCAGAACCTGCACTGACTCACAGAGCAACCAGAGGCTACCGTCTTGTAAGTACAACTGGCATCCTGACTCCTTAGCACTTTAAAGAAAGCTACTGATAGGACACAAACACATTATGCACATTTACCGGGTTTAGTTCATCCATGTTTCTGTAGGAGCTGTGAACAGGAAGCGTGGTTAGCGGAGGAGAGAGCCATTGAATGGAAAGAGTTCCAGCTTCTTGGCAATACTTAGTTGTACCTGAGCTGTCCGCGGTCCTGAAAGATTTGGCGTTCCACTGAGGAAGCCCTAACATTTAAGGAACTAACCTGAGGAACTGTTAGTAGAGAGATTTGGTATTTGCAGCCCTGACTGACACTCGGGCTCCCCAACCAGTTCGCAGAAGTGCCCACACTATTAAAATAAAGGATCCCCTTATCCCTCCCACCCGAAGCTGCTGAGAACCATTTGTCTTCAGGGAGTTACTTTCTCCAATATTCCCCCAGAACGCTGCCTCAGGAAACGGCTGCAGCTGCTTCTTAATGTAATTTTTGTCAGGAAGATAAGTTTCCTCATTGGAGGAATAAATGGAAGAAGAAAAAGCTTCTTCAGACTGTCGTGTTTCACAAGAAAGGGGCCTTTTGGGATGCGCCAGGAGGCTGATCTTCTCTTAGAGGCCAGAAGAGCTCTCACTGCCCCACCTCAAGGCGGGGCGACAGGCCTCACTTCTTCAGTGCAAACCAAGACGGAGCGATGAACTCTGCAAGGGCGCCCCCTCCTACCCCGTGGCTCTCCCTGGGCAGCAGGCTGGCCCAGCGTCGGTCTGAAAATGTGCTGCCTTTCGTGGGACGTGCTTCTCTGTGGTCGGAGGAACGTCGCTGCTCAGCTGGGCCTCCCGGCGAAGGGACAGTCGGCCTGCTTCCTCGCCTGTTTCCCTGGCTCCCCCTCGATGCTGCCATTGACACCGGGCTACGGATAGACACCAACCCTAAATTACCTCTGCTGGGAGCTTGTATGGAAATAAGAGCCTGTAAAGCAGTCAGTTTAAAGAAAATGGCCTGATACACCCGAGCTAGTTAAATGCACTCTGTAAGGACTCGTTAGGAAGCCTGCAACAGGGGGCAATGTAAGTTACCTTGGGAATATACTGGTTTCTAGAAATATCAACCATTCAACTAGTGCATCCACTTAAACATTAGGATTAATATACTCATGTAAATGGGAAGACACCGTATGTTCAGATCTATGATTCAACTTGTTTCTCTCGTTGACCTTGCCGGGCTCTAGTGATGAAAAAATAAACAATATATTGTACCTGCTCTCCAAAAGACTAAGGAAAACAGCGGAAAAGCAAGCATCCTAGAATGGGGAAGACATGCCACACCTGGGAGAGAAGTAAGGCGAGAAGGAGGCAAAGCAGTGCGCAGCTGGCCAGGAGAGAGGAAGATGGCAGGCAGGCACGGGGCCTTCCCGGGGCGGAGCTGGAGCTGGGCTCGGAGAGCGTCCGAAGGCAGGACCGTGAGGACAGGCCGCCTCGAAGGCAGCGGGACCCCCACCTGAGCTTGGAGGGCACGGGGAGCCGCGAAAGGGCAGGAGGAGAGGCGCCAAGGCAGGCTCCATGCGGCCCGAGTAGCACACGGGAAAATGCACACCTTCCCGAGGCCCCAGGGGGCTGCTCAAGACTCCCGAACAAGGAAGGCCGCGAAGCAAGCCACCGGCCGAGCGCCACCGGGCCTTGGCCATTTGGTTAAACTCAACTTGACAAGAGATAATTGCAGCAAACACTGCACAACATCGATCTGGAAAAACACATCTTCTTTGAGTTAGATTCTTTCTCATCAGTTTTAAGGTGAGATAAGAGGGGAAATCCTAACCAATTACCATTAGACTTTCATTTTCTGGGTTTACACTCAGATAACAAAGCAATTAATACTATTTATCACTTTTGTTACCGTAATTCTCAAGGTTGGGTTTCTGCTTAAGATGCCTTTTTGTATAAGTACCACATATATCCAATATTTATATAAAATTTATGTAAGAGAGACTGGAGTTTAATAATATAATCATTATTACTTGTCAGAGTTGTTTGGATTATGTTAATTTTACCTTTTCACATTTAATAGTATTCTTTACATAACAGGTTTCTTTCCTTTTTGTTTGTTTATTAATTTTTTTGAGAGAGAGAAAGGAAGGAAGAAGAGAGAAACATCGATGTGAGAGCATATAACATCAATTGGCTGCCTCCTGTGTGTCACATATTAGGGATCGAGCCTGCAATCGGGTTTGTGCCCTGACAGGAAATGGAACCAGCAACCTCTTGGTGTGGGGGACCATGCCCAGCCAACCGAGCCACACCAGCCAGGGCCATAACGCACTTATTTTCTTTGTTTGTCTTTCCTTTGTGACCTCTTTTATGGGTGGAAGAGAGATTCGTTCGAATCTTGATGTACTTCACTGTGGCTGAACTAAAAAAAAAAAAAAAAGATTTCTCTAACTTTTAATTTTTAGAAAAACAATACCAGCTCTCCAACTCCCTTTTTATCCGGAAACAGAAAGAATGAAAGAGAATTTCCTCCTTCAAAAGATATTCTGGGGCTTCCTGCTGTGTCAGTTAGATCCTACAGCTGCTCAAAGTGAGAAATATCCGGGAGCACTGTGCTGTGTAATGAGAGAGGCTCTCTCTTCTTTTTTTTTTCCGGACTGACTTGCTCCAATGACGTCCTAGCTAGAAAGTCATTTTGGGGGCATGAGCTAAAGGAAAATACACAATAAGGTTATACTTTATGCAAAATGCATCAACATAATCAATATTTAAAAACAAACCTTAAATTTAGAATGTTCCTTCACTTGCACAAAAATTTCTTTATACACACACATGAATAAATCAGTTATGTTTACATAAACTTTAATATGAAAATATTAAGGAATGTTGCAAACTTGGTCATAAAATTGCAGTTAAAAATGTTACTGTGTCTTTTCAGAGTACATCAAGCCAGGAGCCTTTCCTTCCCCTGTACTTAAGTTTTGAAGAGAGAAGTTCAACATTGAATCTTTACAGGGAGCCAAATAAAGAAACAAGAATGTAATTTAAAACTGTAGGTTCATTTACCTTCCTTTGTAAAAACAACAACGACAAAAATCACTGTAAGTAAATGGTTATAATCCTCGGTGACCAGGAGAGGTAAAATGGCAGATAAATGCAAAATGTAATGAGGTAGGATTGTCCACACAGCCCTGCATGTCTTCAGTCCAGATTCTTTTCAATAGAGATTGATTACGGCCTTCCAGGCAGAATGAATGTCATTTCTCTCCAGATATCCCATCCTGGGACGCTAAGCTCCGCCCTGGCTATTTTCATTACCTGCCTTTGTCTCTACTTGACACAGAGAAAAGGGAGCTTAGAATCGTATTTCATCACTGTACCCTTATAGAACCAAAGCCACAGATGGCTTTGTGCTAGGGCATAACCGTCCAGTACGGGGGGTTATATCTGATGGTCAGGATTTCCTTTACACACTACGTTACCATGCTGAGCCCTGTGGATTCACCATAGTTTTTCGTCTGACAAAAATTATTATAAAATCACACAGACCATCCAGGACCAACTGGCTCTCTAGATGGTCTAGTCCACAGATGATCTGTTTTAGAGGCCTTTGAGAAACACACTTCAGGATTCTTCTTTAGTTTACTTCCAAGTTTAAAAATAATACACATACCAAAGAAAGGTTTTTCCCACCTACTCTACGTGCTTCTTAGTTCCAATTCGGCTCATTTGGAGTTATTCTTTGTGGAACTAAAGGCCAGTGTTAAATAAAAGGAGAGGTGAGCGTCTCCGACAAAGGGAATGAAAAGTCCTCCCATGGCCATGCAGGCGTTTTGAGCTGCAGTTTCCTTTCAATGTACTGGAGAAAGTAAGAGTTGCACAGGTGAGAGATTACAACGCTTTCGCTATGGTGCCCATTACGTTTTCTACTGTACTTCTTTGAGTCTAAGGTGCCATTGATTATAACTCTCACTGGTGAATGAATAACAACTTTTCTGAACATCTCTGAAATGTAAATGAGTGAAAACATGGGTCTTAGAATCAAGCAAAAAGGATTTTTAAGGCAATTTTCAGCCAGGCTTTTTAAAGACCTCCAACTACAAATTAGTGTCAGGAGGATGCCATCCATTGGTAAAAGGTTCCTGATATTTTATCTTGTGTTTTATAAAAATCAAATAAGTTAATTTCTATAATAAATAAAAATGTAAGATATTACTAAGGCAGGGAAAGGAGGAAGCAAAATACCTTTTATTTGTTACTGGCTAGTTGTCCTAGGCAATGTGCTTTATATAAGTTCTTTCACTTAAGATTTCTAATAATCCATGGATACATACTACTTTACCATTTTACATTGAGGGGGGGAAAAAGTCACCAAAATAGGGTTTCTAGTAAGTGGCAGAATGGTGATTCCAAAAATCTAAGACCCTTCCCATTATAATGCCTCTCCAAGACAAGCCAACTTGACAACTTTACAAACAAAATCTCTGCTAAAACATACTTTCATGTGATTAAAACAATTTTCTTAGAAATATATCTTTTATATCATCTCAACCTAATTCTTCAGGAATATTGACCCCCTGCCCATTAACACTAAAGTCAGCAGCATCCCCAGAGATAATTTTGACCGGCTATGTTGTTACATTCTAATTAGCACCATCTTTTAGAAATTTCTGTTACCATCCCACTATTTTCACATAAATCAGAATACTCCTTCTTTAATCAGATTTAGCGGCTAGCATTCTATACTTGTCAGTATTTGCCATGAGGTCGTTAGGAGCTTGTGCAGCCGGGTGGGGCTGGGTTTGAGTCCCTGCTTCACTGTTACTAGCCATGGAAGCCTGGACCACTTACTGAGCTTCTCTAAGCCAGGGCATCACCATCATTTACAAGTTCATGTGCGTAAAGCCCTTAGCCCACTGCCTAGCCCAAAGTAAGCCCAGTTGACTCATTCCAAAAATATTTTAAATGCTCCTAAGTATACAGCCTATAAAGGGAATTCAAAATCTGAACACATTTAACTTTAGCTTAGGCAGTAGGCAAAGGGCACTCGGTGTTTTATAAAGAGACATAATTAAACTTAATTTTAGATTCAGGCATATTATATTCGGCTCTATCTCTAATTAACATATCAAATACTGCCTTCCCTTTAAAATTGGATAAGCCCTGGGGAAAAATGATGGTGGTCCATAATATATACCTTTTAGAGGCCATACCTGGGTCAAAGCAACAAATTAGAAATACCTATGAAGGTATTTCCCAGGATTTGTTCCATA